GGTGGGGGTAAGTGGGGTGATCTGCTCCCCGCTTTGTTCTGGGCCTGGGATGCTTTGGGGTGTGGAGCAGTTGCCATGGATAGATTGACACCAAGAACAAGGGGCCTTTATTTTGGGGGGTAGAGTTTGGCTTGTTTAACTTGCTGAGTTTTCCATGGCGTAAAACCCAGACAATGGTTCCTAATCAGTCCGCTTGGAATAAATAGCTCTTCAAGACACATGATTCCAGTTTGGAACGCGCCAATTCCTGTTTCGTCTTTGCTCTAGTGCAGTGATTCATTGAAGAACTTGTGTGACTTCATTGATAGAGCTAACCGGGCTTTGTCTTGTTTTCGCAGACATACATCTTCACGGATGGCGAAGATGAAGAACTGAAGAAGAAAATCGGTGAGTGCAGCTTCCTCAAGCAGAAGTCACAAGACATTCCCACTTTGATATGCACATAGTTTGGACTCAGCCTTCTAATCCTCTTAAAAACTTGTGGTTAGCTAAAGGGAGCTGGGCTCTTGGGGGAAGATGGTATTAGGGCACGTGCAGAGTCACATGACCTCTTAGATAATGGGCATTTCTCAAGTGATAGACATAAGTGGAGTATTACGTGAGCATTGACAAAGTATCTGTCCTCTTGTCCACACAGGAAGCCATGCTATCAACACCAACTGCTCTGCTGCCCACAGCCGCCAGGCTCTGTCCTGCAAGATGGCTGTTGAGTATGACAAGTTCATAGAGTCTGGAAAAAAGTAAGCATTGCATGATTACGGTCACGTTGTAAATACTTGTTTTAGTGTCAAACCAAACCATATTGGATGTTCTAATGATATCTCTGTCTGGTTTAGGTGGTTCTGTCATGTGGATGATGACAACTATGTGAACGGGAAGACACTGGTGAAGTTGCTGTCCAACTACCCTCACATTCAGGACATGTACATTGGGAAACCCAGCTTGGACAGGCCGATTGAGGCCACGGAAAGACTTGGGGACAACAAGATGGTAGGTGGTCCAAAATATCCTCATTTTTTTATATATATAGACTGGTTGTAAAGATTAAAAGGAGCGTTATGAATAGAAACTGATGCTTTTGTTTCTCCATTGCAGAGTCCTGTCAATTTCTGGTTCGCTACGGGAGGTGCAGGCTTCTGTATCAGCCGTGGGCTAGCTTTGAAGATGAGCCCCTGGGCAAGGTGCAAAAAACTCTCAACTATCCTAATGCAGCGGCTAAGAGCATATTCAATGTTTTAAGATGTTTTATGTTGACTTACTTTACTATTTTTATGACAGTGGTGGCCATTTCATGAACACTGCCGAGAAGATCCGTCTTCCTGATGACTGCACCATCGGCTACATCATCGAGTCAGTTCTTGGGGTCCCTTTGACCCGAAGCAGCTTGTTCCACTCACACTTGGAGAACTTGCAACAGGTGTCCAAATCAGAAGTACACAAACAGGTGAGGAACTTGATACAGGCACTTTTTAGTTCTGTAAAATGCAGTATAGTTGTATTAATGCAGTGTTTCATATCATTTCATTTAGATTACACTGAGTTATGGAATGTTTGAAAACAAGAGGAATATCATCAACATGAAAGGGGCTTTCTCTGTTGAGGAGGACCCATCCAGGTAAGACAAGTTCTCAACACTCTAGATCACATTTGGATTTTGCTCTTATCTACATTTGCGTGCATGTACAAATCTAACATCTATTTTTTATTCTCTCTCAGGTTTAAGTCAGTGCACTGTCTGCTGTACCCAGACACTCCGTGGTGCCCTCCTCAGGTTGCCTATTAAGGTGACCGGCTCCTCTGTTGTATCCTCGTCCCTCACTGCCTCGGTATCTGAAAGGCATGAGGGACCAGTGTGTTATTGGGCCATGTGGCGCTGCGTTTACTCTGCAGTGGCGCATGGCCTTCCGTGGTTATACTGGGCTGCTGTGCGGCCCGCCTTTAAACAGTTCCTTCCTGCCTGGTGCCTGAGCTTCCTGTCCAACTCAGACATTACGAAGGGCCTGGCTTTCAGAAGGACGCTTTCAGCGCCAAGCTTGGCAGGCAATCAACTGTGCTTTATATGATTACTGTTGCTTGTATCCCATTTGCAATTCTCATAGAATGTAACTTTCTAGTATACCCAAGCCTTTTGCCAGCTTTATATGCTTAGTTTTAAATTCTAATTAGCAAATTAGCGCATACTTTATATTTTATTCTCTCCAAATGCTGTTCAGGATGTTCTTTCCCTCAGGTTTGATTTAATGATTGAGTTCTTTAAAATATTCAGAGGAAATCAGTAACATGGGTGCTTTGTCTAGTTCTAAAGGACTCCGGACAAAATTAATGAGATGAAGGTCCACTTTTTTGCAAATTGATTTCTTTGATGTCAGTGTTATTATAATTATTATTGCTATCAGTTTTTTATGACATTTTGTGCTGGCAATAGGCAAATTTTCCAAATATGCTGTCAGGTTATTTTAATCTGTGGTGTATGAGGACTGAGCACTTTTCTCCCTAAATCCTATGGGCATTTTATGGTGATTGAACTGTTATATCTTAAAGCTGTGTGTAAATGTATCAAGTGCCCACATTTTTAGATCTTTATATTATTTAATGCCAATGCATTCACACAATCTTGGCAGATATATATGAGATTTTTGGCATGATTTATTATTGTATTTTTAAAAAAAAATTTAATTGCTCAAAGATGTACTGAAGTGGGAGTTGCACAGCTTGGTTTAAAATACCTGTTGGTTGCTCAAGTAAAGCATCTCCTAGCAATCGCTTAATGCTGTTTACTCTTTTGAATTGGCACCAGGGCCACTGCCAACACAATGTACATTGTTAAAACAGATGGCAGCTAAAGTTTAAGATGTGTTTATAGCACAGATCTGAGTTCTCTGATCCCTTTTGCACAGACTGGTCTGGCTTAGAGCCACAGTTTTCCCCATTCCTTCACGGCTGACAGTTGGACATCACTATGCCAACTATACAAAACATGTTAAGTGAGAGCTTTACATGAGCATCAACAGTGATCCTAACAGAGTTGCAGTTTCTCTATGGGAATGACCCATATTGGGTGAGCCTGTATATTTTATTTTAAAGCAGTATTTATGTACTGTGCCATTTCAAAACAATTGTATTTGTACATAATTGTTTAGATATTATATGCATTTGGTCACCTATGGATCAGGCCTTGTTCTGATGATTCCTCTAAAATGTTTTTTAATGCTCTGAATTTTGCTAATGGCTGTAATTTATATTCCAGTATCTGGATTCTTTGTTCAAATGTTGTCCTCTCAGGGATCACAATCCTGATATTGTTACCATGCGCCGCCTTGGTAATTCACCATTCAGCTTTTGAATAAAGCAGCATATTCGCTAAGAAACTTTACTGCACTGTTGTTTGTTTTCTTTCAGCTGACACACTACATACATATTTCAGATTTCAAGGGGTAGTTCACCTTCAACTAAAACCTACAACACATACAAAACTTACATTTTAGCCTGTTTCTAAGACAAATTTATCATACGATTAATATAGACCATAAGCCACAATGAATGTATGGCGATCAGGCACTGATGTACTTTTTGAAAACATTTCCTTCCATTGAGTAATCAATAACATAATTTTCATTTTTTGTTGAACTATCCCTTTCAACAACATCTAAGACAAACAGGAAAAAGGACACACTCACTACTATAGGGCAACACAGGCGACTTGCATCAATCATTTGGAGTAAAATCATTGCCAGACCGCAGAGGTTCAGAGGCCAGTGTCTCTTACTCTGTCAAAACTGTTGTGAACTGTTACTGAAGCATGCAAGCAAAACAAACTCGGCCTCTCGTGGGTTTCGAGGGTTGGCACTGACCCGTTCTGTGTTGCTTGCTGTATTAATGAAACACACTTGAAAGTTTAGTCTCACTCACACGTAATTTATTATTCTACAAGAATTGCCATGGGAAAGAACATTTCCTCACTACCGGGCCTTTCAACACACTATATAGTCATGTCATTTGAGGCCTGGAAAATATAGGGGAGAGCAAGGTAAATTGTCAATTGTTGATCATAATTGCATTACACGTTTTATACGACATATTTGGAGATATAGAGTGGCAAGTGCTATTTATATGGAAATAGTCTGCCATACTTATTATTTTTTGGCCTGGTCTGGTCTCATTGAAAAAGTTAACAGAGAAAGAGTATAATGTGCATGCTCTTCATAGTCGGAATCAGTAATACATGCAGCAAAAATGGGAAAAGCCTAGAAATTAAGCTTGATTTCTTTCTTTGGATGACTAAATACAACACATACAAAACTTACATTTTAGCCTGTTTCTAAGACAAATTTATCATACGATTAATATAGACCACAAGCCACAATGAATGTATGGCGATCGGGCACTGATGTACTTTTTGAAAACATTTCCTTCCATTGAGTAATCAATAACATAATTTAAATTTTTTGTTGAACTATCCCTTTCAACAACATCTAAGACAAACAGCGAAAAGGACACACTCACTACTATAGGGCAACACAGGCGACTTGCATCAAGACTTGTATTGCTTCAGATCAAAGAATTCCTTCACATAAACGGGAGGTCAACAACAGAAATGTTGTAAATGTTATTGCAAGATGATACAAATCCTTATATTCCTTCAACATTAATAACAGGCTCAACCACAAACACTAATTCCACACCCCAATGACACCATTCAATATATTTTTAAAACCACATTTTTTTACATTCCAGTCAGATCACAAAGATCTTATAACAAACATAATCATGTTTTTATTAAGTCACATCTGTGCCTGTTTTAATGGTGTGAGAGATTATATTCTTAAGCCACGACTGCCTGTTTTCCCATGAGTCTGAGGGCAGAGAGGGGATTTCTGAGCCATGGATCACCCCAAAATCAACCACCACAGCAAAAAGACTTCCTTCAGAGTAATCAATAACATAATTTTAATTTTTTGTTGAACTATCCCTTTCAACAACATCTAAGACAAACAGCGAAAAGGACACACTCACTACTATAGGGCAACACAGGCGACTTGCATCAAGACTTGTATTGCTTCAGATCAAAGAATTCCTTCACATAAACGGGAGGTCAACAACAGAAATGTTGTAAATGTTATTGCAAGATGATACAAATCCTTATATTCCTTCAACATTAATAACAGGCTCAACCACAAACACTAATTCCACACCCCAATGACACCATTCAATATATTTTTAAAACCACATTTTTTTACATTCCAGTCAGATCACAAAGATCTTATAACAAACATAATCATGTTTTTATTAAGTCACATCTGTGCCTGTTTTAATGGTGTGAGAGATTATATTCTTAAGCCACGACTGCCTGTTTTCCCATGAGTCTGAGGGCAGAGAGGGGATTTCTGAGACATGGATCACCCCAAAAATCAACCACCACAGCAAAAAGACTTCCTTCAGTGATCCTGAATCATATTTCTTCTGGCTCAAAACCCTCTTCACAGACTCCACACAGTTCATATGTCATATGTGGCTGCAGATGTCAGAAACCATGTCTGCAAGAGCCGGAGCATCAGACACATATGGGTATGTGTTTGCTCCCACTGTACTGTAATGCACCGCAGCTATGATTATGGGTGTTCATCTTGAAGTCTGCGTTCCAGGAAGCCCAACATCTTTTTGTTTAGGTGAAATACTACATTTACATTCAAGGTGGAGAGCGAGATTGAGTTATGCAAAGCACTCAAGCAGGGCAGTCAGCCATCTGCCTGGAGGAAAGATAACTGCCTAAATATTACTCAGATAGTTATCAGTTCAAATAAAACCGGTGCCTTGAACCCATGTGTACACAAAACATTACGTCTTCAGTGTGGCGTATAAACAAAGCTGTCTGTACCATAACCGAAACGACTTGCTTATGACCATAGTGAGGTATATAACTATATATGTGTAAGCAACACCCAAACATCCATGACATTCATCAACTTGAAGGGTTTATTAATGACTTCTGCTAACCACTTAGCTGGCTGGTATGACAAACATTGTAGAACCAACTTTTAGAAACAGAATCCATTTCCGTTCTCATCCTCGTGCCAAATTCTCATTTGTAATTAAAGCCTCGAGGTCTGTTTTGACTGCTTCTGCACTGATGCGTGAAATAATGTTGGACCACACAACGTCTGGATCCCAAAGAGACTGGAAAATGATGCTTAAGTCGAAAACAAAAATCACTCAGAAGATCTATAATGAAGTCTTGGAATAAAACACAACCGATCCCTTCCTTTGACACTTGACCTTGATGTATCTTGCGATGCCAGTTTCACCTCAGAGAGCCCAACAAAAACACTGAATGTGAAAGCATCAGGCCACAAACCACATAGTGGTTTGCCAGACAAATAAATAGCTGCTTGAGCAAAGCAACCGTTGCACGGTTTCTTGGAAGGAAGATGGCAGCATTTTTATTATGAGTCAGAGGGCCCTGTGGTCCACATATCTTTATACATCAAACCTTTTGAACTCTCGAAACTGATCACAGCAATGTATTTTTATGCCCCTTTCTGTTCAAACCACATTTATATTGAACTTTACTGATATGATCGGTCTTTGACTAGAAATGTTTTTATATTATATGCATATAATATAAAAGTCACATCTGGATGCATGTTCTATGTTTGATTAAAAAAGAAAAAAAAAGAAAAAAAAAAAGTCTTCACCGAAGTGAAAGTGCTTGTAAATTCATAGTGAAAACTTCAGTTAGATATTGATCAGACAGCCTTCCTGCTAATTCTACAAAAATAACTCCTCTCATAAAGATGTTACTTTCACTTCAGCATTATTTAAATCTGATTTTGATATTTTCTGAATAAAAAAAAGTGGTGTTTGCCTGTGCGAAATTCACGGCCACAATGCAAAGTCATTGCTATGCAGTTATTAAGGTGTTCTGAGCATTTCTAGCATGTTGTAATGTTGCTATTTGTGCTCTAAAAATCACTTAGAAGCATTTTTATGCTGCATTTTGTTATTAATCCGATAAAAGGCGGGGTATTCAATAAATCGGAAACAACAGCAAAATTGTTTTTGTTAAATTTGAAAGTAAACATTTGAGATTAGCGTGGCAGCAGTGGCTAACACTCTTGTCTTCTCTAAGCTCTTTTGAGAGGCTGTAATTATAGCAGTCAGCAAGCAAGTGCCAGTTCCACAAGTTCTCCAGGCCTCCCAGCCACTGGCCAGAGCTGAAATCCCTATGAACATGTGCTCAAAGGAACTGAGCAACTATCTCCTAATCCAGCTATCAGATATCCTCCGCCAAAGAGGCTTTACCTCACGGAGCAAAAATGTCTGGTTCATGGATTCTCATGGAGGGTTATCAAGCATGCTGAGAGACATCTCCTGGGTGTCCCATGTGCTCAACACTCATTCAGCAGTTCATTTGTCTGTAACTTGGACTTCCTTGGCAAAGCTGCCTTGCTGAACTCTCACCTGGATGACAAGAAACAGTCTGGTAATTTCAAAAGTTTTGTTCCTCATTTCATGAACTGGCACACATTTAAAATAAAACTCCAGGAGATGATGTTCTGCCAGTGGTGAGGGTAAGTGTTATGCGTGATCTCATTCTCTACTTCCTTCCATCTGCATGTTGCTAGTTACAAGCAGATCTTTCCGACGGCTCATTCTGGAAAATATGATCTTTCTTTGGGCCTTTTTAGCCTCCTTTCATCAGTGTCTGGCATACATCTGCATAAATTAACACCTGACTATTTCCAGTTGAAACAGAAAGTTTCATGTACGTCATGTACTAAGATCATTTCCACCGATACTTAAGCTACTTTTACACATTTACTTAAAATTGCAAATAGCTCAGCAACAATCAAAGAGCTTGAAAAAGTAATTAGCGACATCAAACGATAGCTAAAAAGTTTTTAAAAGTTTCTCCCCAGCACAGTTACAGTGTTGATGGTGAACCTAAACAGAACGTTAACCTGAAAGAAAAAAATAAATAAAAGAATATTTTTTACAAGTATTAGTTCATTATTTTTGACCCAGTTTGTTATTGTTAACTAAACTAAAAATATTAAAATTATTTTTGTTAATTGAAATAATGCTTAAATAATAATAATAATTATTGTTATTTTATAAAAACAAATATAATTACTAGGGGTGTGACGAGATCTGATGTGTCTGGCTAGAACGTGACGATATCCTCCAGAAGACCTTTCAGATATATTTGCATTACACTGGCTCGTTCACAAGTGGTGGTATGTAAGATATTTTATGTTCACAACAGGCAAGTGGCCGCATGAATAGCGGGAAAATTACGCAGTGTAGTCTTTATCCAGTCATAAAAACAGAATTCACAGTTTAACGCTGAATGTCACGGAATTTGTCAAATTTTGA